GCTTGAGCCCATTGATGCTGCCACTTTGCCAGTCCATCTTGCTGGGGTCTTCCTCTTTTACACTGACCCTCCACCTTATGAAACATGATATCTTTCTCTAGCAACTTCTCCTCCAACACCATAACTCAACTGTATGACCTTGAATATATCCTGCCTGAATTTAGAGACCATCTCAAGAACCGATTTGATACACTAAACTCTAATGACTGAAGACCAGAAGAGCTGTGGAATGACACCAAGAACATCACACAGGAAGAAAACAAAAGGTCAAAATGTCATTAAGAAGACAAAAAAGATGGAAAAGACCAAAATGGATGTCAGAGAGACTGGAACTTGTTCTCCACTGTAGAGAGGTTAAGCAAATAGAAGAAATGAAATAAAAGAACTGAATCGAAAATTTCAAAGGGCAGCTCACAAAGACAAAGTCAAATATAATGAAATGTGTAAAGACCTGGAAATAGAAAGCAAATAAGGGAAGAACATGCTCAGCATTTCTCATTCTGAAAGAATTGAAGAAAAAATTCAAGCCTCGATTTGTAATATTGAAGAATTATATGGGCAAATATTGAATGATACAGAAAGCATCAAAAGAAGCTGGGAGGAATACACAGAGTCACTGTACCAAAAAGAAATGGTCAGTGTTCAGTCATTTCAAGAGGTAGCATATGATCAAGGGTCAATGATACCAAAGGAAGAAGTCCAAGGTGCATTGAAGACATTGACAAAGAACAAGGCACCAGGAATTGATGGAATAGAAATTGAAATCTTTCAACAAACTGATATGGTACTAGAGGCATTCACTCATCTATGCCAAGACATTTGGAAGACAGCTATCTGGCCAACCGATTGGAAGAGATCCATATTTGTGCCCATTCCAAAGAGACATGACCCAATGGAATGTGGAAATCATTGGACTATCTCATTATTATCACATACAAGTAAAATTTTGCCAAAGATAATTTAAAAACTACTGCAACAGTACATTGACAAGGAACTGCCAGAGGCTGAAGTCAGATTCCAATGAGGACATGGAATGAAGGCTATCATGGCTGATGTCAGATGGATCTTGGCTGAAATCAGAGAATACCAGAAAGATGTTTACCTGTGCTTTACTGATTATGCAGAGGCTTTCAATTTTGTGGATCATGGCAAGCTAGTGGGCAGCATTGCAGAGAATGAATACTCTGGAACACTTGATTGTGCTCATGAGGAACTTCTACATAGACCAAGAGGCAGTCATTTGAACAGAACAAGGGGACATTGAATGATTTAAAATGAGGAAAGGTGTGTGCCAGGATTGCATCCTTTCACCATACGTATTCAACCTGTTTGCTGAGCAAATAATCTGAGAAACTGGATTATATGAAGTAAAACTTGGCATCAGGATTGGAGGACGGCTCATTAACAGCCTGCGATATGCAGATGATACAGTCTTGCTTGCTGGACATGAAGTTGACTTAAAATACTTACTGATGAAGGTCAAAGACCACTGTCTTTGGTATGGGTTGCACCTCAATGTAAGGGAAACAAAACTCCTCACCACTGGACTAATAACATCAAGATAAATGCAGGAAAGATTGAAGTTGTCAACCATCAACACTCATGGAAGCAAACAAATCTGTGTTGAAAGAAGTACAGCCAGAGTGCTCTCCTTAGAAGCCAGGATGGCCAGACTTCATCTCTCATATTTCGGATATGTTATCAGGAGAGACCAGTCCCTGGAGAAGAAGGACATCATGCTTGGTAAGGTGGAGAGTCAGGGAAATAAAGGAAGACCCCCAATGAGATGAATTAGCACAGTAGCAGCAGAAATGGACTCAAGCACAACAACGATTGTGAAGTTGGCACAGGACCAGGCAGCGTTTCATTCTGTTGTGTATAGGGGCGCTGTGAGTTGCTACCAACTTGACAGTACCTACAACAATTAAGGAGCTTAAAAGACTGAGAGAATTTTCTTGCAGCTATTTACTGATGGCAGATTAAATAGGTTTTGTTTGGACTAAATCGATGCATGGGTGAACAGAAAACCGAGTAGCAATATTTTTTGACTGACCCGCTTATAATAGTTTTCCTACGGCGGTTCACTTATTTCACACAGCATAATATTTTTAGGGTTCATTCCTGTTGTAGCAGGTATCAAGACTTCATTTCTCTTTATGGCTGAATGCCATAAATGTACGTATATTCCACATTATGTTTATCCAGTCTTCTGGTGGTGGGCATTTTGGTTGTTAACACTGTTGGGGGCTATTGTGACTTGTGCTGTAGTGAACAATGCTATACAAGTTTCTGTTTGTGGTCTTGACTTCAAATCTTTTGGGTAGATCTCTAGGATTAGGGTCGCTGGGTCACATGGTAATTCTATGTTTAACTGTTGGAGGAACTGCCAAACTGTTTGACAGCAGCTGTAGCATTTTACATTCCTACCAGCAATGAATGAGGGATCCAGTTTCACCATCTCTTTGCCAACACCAGTTATTTTTTTGTGTGTGTGTGTGTGTGTATGCCTCCCCCGCCCCCCCTTTGTGGGTTAATGTGCTGGACTGCAATGTCCCTTTGAACCACAAGGCTGGCGATTCAAGCTCACCAGCCACTCCTTGGAAACCCTATACAGGGTTACTGTGGGTCAGAAATGACTGGATGGCTCTTAACAACTATAACATTAAGCATTCTTTCGTGTGCTTGATGGTTATTTGTATATCCTCTTCCTGAATTATCTATTCATTTTCTTTGCTCAGTTTTTGATGGGATTGTCTGTCTTTTTGTTATTAAGTTGTGGGATTTCTTTATATATTCTGGGTATTAAACCTCTGTTGGATAGATATATGGTTCCCCAAAATTTTCTCCCAATCTGGAGGTTGTTTCTTCACTTTGTTGATAACCTGCCCCTTTAGTTTTGACTAGTATATTTTCATTATTATTCAGTTCTGGGTATTTTAAAGTTTCTATTATGTTTTCTTCTTTAACTTGTGAATCATATATAAATGTTTAAAATTTTTCAAA